GATTATGAATTTATATATTCTCTAGTCATGGATTCAATTATATTTCAATATATTATTGGAATGACAGTTCATGCCACCCTCGAGATGCATTTGATAGATGTAGTAACTACATATCTATATGGTTCTCTTGATGCAAATATTTATATGAAAGTTCCATCTGGCTTAGAAATAGGAACTTCAAATGGACCTGTTGTAGAACAATATCGTGGTATTAAATTATGAAAGGCCTTGTATGGTTTAAAATAATCCGGATGCATGTGGTATCAATGTCTTTGAGATTATTTAATTACAAATAATTTTATAAGTGATCCACTAATCCCTTGTTTGTTTATCAAACAAGATAAAATTGGTTTTGTGATCATCGCTGTATATGTTGATGATCTTAACCTAGTGGGTACTACATTTGTATGTGTTACAGCTACTAATCTACTTATACGTGAATTTGAGATGAAACTGTTAGGAAAAATAACTTTCTGCATTGGTCTTCAGATTATGTATCTAACAGATGGTAGCATTTTTCTCTACCAACTAACATATATTACACGAATCTTGCAAAAATTTAATATGATTGATGCTTATTCATTGTCCACACCAATGGTTGGATGTGGTCGTGATGGTCATGATCCATATCATCCATGCGAGGAGGAAGAAGAAATATTAGGAGATCAATATCCATATCTCACAACGGTTGGACCACTTTTGTATCTAGCTACATCTACAAGAGCAGATATTGCATTTGCAGTTAGTGTTCTTGCAAGACATAGTGCATGTTCAACACTACAACATTGGAATGACATCAAATACTTATTACGTTATTTAAAAAGTACTCAAGACTTGGAATTATATTACATGCAATCCGCAGATCCAAAATTGATTGGATATTGTGATGCAAGATATAAATCTAATACTGCAATAACTAAATTTCAAACAAGATATGTATTTTTAAGACATGGAGCTGCAATATCATGGAAATCAATGAAACAAACAATAACTGTAATTTCATCCAACCATTCAAAAATTATTACCTTACATGAAGCATCTCGAGAATGTATTTGATTGCGATCAATTGATAAATTCATTCAAACAACCTGTGGATTTTCATATGATGATTTTCCAACTATCTTGCATGAAGATAATAATGCTTGTATTGCACAGATGCAAGTTGGTTTCATTAAAGGAGACAAGACAAAGCATATTGATCCAAAATATTTTAGTTATAGCTAAGACTTGATTACTAATCAAGCACTTATTATTAAGAAAATTGAATCTACAAATAACCTTGCGGATCTCTTCACCAAAGCTCTTCCATTATGCAACTATCATTGACTTACTTAAGGCATTGGTATGCGGCGACTTGCTTTTCTTGAATGAGAAAGTTAATGAGCACTTTAAATAATTAAAGAAAATGATGTTGTACTCTTTTTCCTTCATCTATGATTTTGTCCTTAAATACAATAAGGTTTTCCTAAATAAGGTTTTAATGAGGCAACAATTGTTGATCTTGCAAGATTACAAAAAAGTATAGATCATATTCTATACAAATTTTATATTATATAAATATTATGATGAGCAAGGAGGAGTGTTGTGATCATTAAATATAGCCGACACTTTCCATAATATTTATTGTAGATTACAGTAAATACTATAGCTATAGTATTTAGAGTCTAGTAGAGAAGTACTATTTATCTTCTCTCTTTTTCTCTTCTTGTATACGAGACACAACCAGATCAATAGATTTTTATGTGTGAAGCTCTCTCTCCTTAGAAACCCTCTTATGTGTATGATTTACTACTACTCTTGTGTGTGTGTATGATTTACTATTACTCTTGTATCTTTCTAAACATTCTCAACAGTTTTAAAGGCCATAAAGACTTCTATGTGAGTTAGGAAGGCAATGAGTTTGTTATTCATTGCAAGCATTATTTTTTGTAAAATCTTATTTCAATAAGTAACCTTAATGCCTTTGCAATCTGACCAAATTTTTTAGGTATAGAATAGCTTGTAATAATAGCATTGTCAAAAGAATAAGCTTTTTTAGGAGAAAATAGGATCCTTAATTGTAAGTGGATTGTAAGAAATATAATATTAGAAAAATAAATTCAAATAAAAAAAAATAGCCAAAGATTGAATACAAATTTTAGATTAATTTCTTTCTTGTGCAAAGATGCATTCAATTCCTAATCTAATATCAAATTCAAACCTCCTCTCATTGGAATACCTATAATTTACTTATTATTAAGTTAATCTATGTAGAATTTAGCTCATTGAGCTTAATTCAAGCTACAAACTTTAAATCGTCAAAGTAAATAAATAAAATTTTGAAAAAATGAGAGCTAAAGCAAGGAAGAAAAAAAAAAAAAAAAAAAAAAAAAATCCTTTGATATAAAAAATCCCTACTCTAATCTTCTTCCAATATTTTTCTTAAACCACTATAGAGTGAGATACTTATTCCAAAAGATAATACTTTCAAAGCTTAAATAATTTATTTAAAATAATAATTTTATATTTTAAATTTCATTCAAATTTTAAATTATATTAATACTATATTCTTTCTTTTTTACAAGTAAAACTTATTACCTTCTAAATATCTTTAATGCACTTAAATAAAGTGCATCACAATACTCATCTCTTTTAAACTTGCATATATTTTGGTATGTATTAAAGAATTAGACCAAAATACTTTCATTATCAAAATCTTATTCATTGTAAGTTATATCACTTTTGAACCATTAATCAAAATATTAAGGCTTAAAAGCCTCTAAATCTTCCATATAATTCATTCCATCTCACTACTTAAATACTTTAATTTACTTTCTTGCTATTCTAATCTTCAATGTTGTTCCATCTAACTATTGAAGAGAATAAGTTGCATTATCATATACTTCAACTACCACATAGGATCCACTCTAATATTGTACAAACTAAAAAATAATAGAATGTTGGTGAATCAAACTATTATCATAAATTAAAATCCAATCACCATCTTTAATTAGCTTAGACCTCAATTGATGAATTTTATCAAACCTCACTTTATTGTTCAACCTTGTTATCTTAAGTCTCTCTATAGTAACTTGATGATCCTCAAGCAATCACTCTAATTGGTAAATTTGAAGCTCCAACAATCTCTCTCTATCAATGCCATCTTTCTAAGACAAAAAAAATAAAGAAAGAATAGACTCTTTTGTAGGCATTAAGGACTTTTGTCCCAACATCAATTTTATTTTCATATACTCAGTAACTATGTTATGAGTAGTTCTATTTGTCCATAAAGCAAATGGCAAAAGCTTAAGCCACAACCTTGATTGACTCTTATATGCCTTAATCAAAGCATGAAGGATTGGAGGATGCCTCTTTTTATTCTTACCATTGGCTTTGGAATTAAAAGATGTGGTCAATTTTAATTGTATTCCATATCTTGTAAAAAAATCACATGCCTCTATGGCATCAAGCTCACCTTGGTGTGCTTTCATCTTTCTAATGCTCCCATAGCAATATATAATATTTATTAAAATAAACTGATATACAAGCTCTATAGAATTTGACCTCAATCCCCTCCCTTCTACATAATTGGAGAATTTATCTTTTGCCAAAATTAAATACTTCATGCTCCAAAGTTCCATTGGCATGGCAACCAAATCAATCATCTATTGAAAATGAATGGCAAGTAGATATGTAAGGCATAAATCATCTCTATACTCCAACCAAGAATTCACATTATATGACAATTTTTGGATAATTGCTATGATATCTTCTATGATGGTGATATTTCTTGCCTTAAAGAAAATACTACACCATTGATTACAACAGTTTATAACTAAATAAATAAAAATAAGTAATGAATCAAAGCAAGCATCAAAATAAAATATTATTTTTTTAGGGTTTTTTAAAACCTCTTATATCTTTATGCAAATTTATTGAATTTTATATTCCTAGAATCACTATCTCCATTTGTATACATATCTAATAGTCCCTAGCACTTCCAATATGATTTTGATAGCTTAAACCACAATCAAACAAACCTAAGAAGGTACTAGTGAATAAGCATGTATTCTAGGCCGCATTTATTTTTTACACATTGTCATTGTAGCACTTATACATGCCATTGCACATTCATCCACATAAAATTTCAATAACCAAGTTTAAGATCATTTGATTATAAGATGTAAAGGAAAAGAAATTAATTCTTAGTTTGTATCAATGTAACAAAGAAAATTAGAATGTTATTCTTTTAAAAAAAAACAACACACACACACATCTAGTATTGAAACAAAATATGGCAATGTATTTATGGTACATATATTAAAAACATATCTTTGTATTATTTAATAAAGATATATTTAAATTATTAAAAAATTGGTGGAGAAAATTAATATAAATTTACTATGAAAATTTCAAATATTCACCACCAAGAAATCTACACACATGAAAGGAAATGTCTATTATTATACATAAATAGACAGTGTCAATCTATGTATTTAGTAAGTGTTAATCCAACATAGATTGACACTGTATTCAAGGGTGCTAGTTTATTATTATTATTTTCACTTTTGTTAGTATATTTGATTTTCTAGTTATTTGATAATCTTCAAAAGCTGCTACAGAAAGAGAGCATGGGTCTGAAGACACATCAGAATTTGTCAGAGGAGCCTTTTGCTTTAAATAGAGATGCGTGGTAGTAGCTGAGAATGAAGAGCTGCACGAGCGTATTACAGTTGCGTTTCCACACCAAAAACAAAAATCTAACAACGTCCTTTTTATTAAAAAATTAATAATAAAATAACAAACAAAACAAAAGTTGGCAGTAGACTTTGGAACTCTCTGGGCACACTACAAATAGTATTTTTTTTTTTTTGCATCAAACAGTGAGATATTGAAGAGTAAAACAAAATCACACTTGGATGCTGTGATGACTCAGAAACTCCTCCCCAGCAATGAAGGCAGCCCAATTGAGGGACAACATCATGCAGAGAGTAGTTGGCAACAAACCCACAGGAACAAGATTCCGAAGAATAAATTACTGCAACTACTAATAATAATATTATTATTAATATGATGCTAAGAATTACCCTCAATAGATGGATGAGTATGAAGAAGGATGCATGAATATGGGAACTGGCCCACACCAGTACTTCTAGTAGTGGCACCAGTGGAAGGATATCATGCATGGCCCCCATTCTTTAATCTAATCTATCTATCTATCTATAGCTGTGTGTGTGTGTGAGATTGAGTCTTCGGGCTGTCTGTCAGGTCACAGTGTCTGTCACACGCATCTCTTGCCCCTTTTCCTTCCTTCCTTTTTTTACTTTCATTAACTTTCGAAAGACAGAACAGAAGCTTCATCATCTGGCAGTACCAACTTCGACCCACTCCGAATTGATGTTGTTTTCCTGTTGCTGGAGGTCATCATCTGGGTCATGCTGCAGACTACTACTTTGGGAGGGTGGGAGGGAGGGAGGGAGGGAGGTGGGGTGAGATGAGGTATGCAAGCAAGGCCAATTCACGGCACACCAGCTCTGGTGGTGCTGCAACTATAATGCACGCAGCAGCAGCAGCACATGGTGCTCTCTCGGGAAGTGTGCGTTGGATTTGTCCTCTTGCTCCACGCTGGGGGAGATGCCCACTCTACCCCCTCTCTCACTCTGTGTTCCTGGCACCCTGCCCACCACGCTGCCCATGTGGTTGGAAGCCCCATGCTGCCTGCCAGAGCTTCTGTCCACTCTCACTTCCTCCTCCTCCTCTTGCTTTGTTCCCAGGCAGTGGCATCGATTACCTCGCTCCTCTCTCCTCTCCCCTCCTTTGGTGAGGACTCGCCCTGCTCCTTCAGTGGCACTGTGCATTTTCAAACACTGCTCTGAAACCTCAAACCCACTTCAGGACCCACATTCGTCACGAGTTGTACTCGCACTTTCGTGTAGAAGACAACATCATCCTCCCATTCTTCACCAATTGTAACTAGTGCAGTCATCCTTCTCAGGAGGTCGGTTATTGCACCAACTTGATTGATTTAGCTGCATCAGTTTTTTCTTGTCGGTTTGACGTTGTGAGATCTGATAAATCTGCCTCTGCAGATATCTGTTACGTAAAAATATGTCAAGTTCTCGTTATGGTTAGCATATCATCAACGAAACAATTATTTACAAATCATCTGAAATCCTTAGTGTTAATTTTTTTATTGCAACTATGTCAGAGTCACCCATTTGAATGAAAATTGGAGTTGGCTGTTTAATTTTCTGCTGTAAATGATGCCATTGCAAAAGTAGTGGAATGTACTATGTGTTTTCTGGAAAAACCTCATACATGGACTATCTACTTTCGCAATTTACTTGGAAAATGTATATTCTTCTTGTTCCATCTAAAATAGACTGCTTTACTTTTGGTCTTCCGCCCAATTAAGAAAATTTGAAGACAAAAACAAATATGATTTGTACAGAAAATATTATGTAAAACAAAACTAAAAGATCTACTTTTATATATACATACTCAAATCATGAAAAAATAAATAAAATGTCCGTTACTCTTCTTTGCATTTGTGAGTATTTGGCTACTTTAGTTACAGAGTGTTTGATGAGTTGACAAGCCCTAGAAGGTAAAAATTAAATACAATTTTCAAGTTTTTACAATCTTACCTTTAAGAAAGTTGCAATGAACTTGAGAATCTACATCCCTACATGCTACCAAAGTTTTCCAAACTGAACCATCCCTTCACATATATTTGAACTTTGACAAAACTCATCCCCATACACATTTACCAATAAAATAGAGGAAAATAATTATCCTGTAAAAATCACTAACCCTCTTCACCACCTCGTTCTGTTAAAACACGAAAGCTCACAACCTCAATCTCTCACTCATTTCAGAACACCGTCGCCATTGCCCATCTACTGGCACAACAATGCAAGCGTAACCGTCGCCGTCAAGCATCCGCCCCTCCATCACTGCGTAAGGTCGCCCATCAGGTGGTCTCTATCACATTGTCTCCGAGATGGCAACCAGTCACATACTCCACCTTAGCAAGGAGTTAACCTAGGTTGAGCAACAGCTTGTGCAGATCAGTGGTCAATTCCAACTCCTTTCACAACCCTGAGCCTGTCAGCTTGAAGCTCACACCACTAAAAACCTGGAAACCCCACTAAGAAAGTCGAGAGCAAACATAAATAACAAAAGCCCCACAAGTCCACAACCTTGAAAGATCAATGGATTCAAGAATCGAATACTCGACCGATTGACTGCATGCGATGCTGTAAGTAACCTGCAGCAGTCTGCCATGAAGACGCTTGCTGGCAACGTTCAAGGGAGTTGAATGATTCTTAAATTTGAAGGTACCTAAAGAAGGATCAGCCACCTAACAAACCTCAAAAGCTGCTAGAGTCAGCGTTGCATAGAATATCAAGGACTTGATTCTGTGAGCAAAGAGTAGATCGCTTGACCACTAAGCAGGTCATCAAAAGAACTGCAAACATCAGTCACGTCGAGGTAGGCCATTATGTCTGTTTGTCCAACCTGGTCGACATCTGTGACAAAACCCGCGGTGGCATATACTCCGTCAACTGCAAGATGACCTGGAATAATGTGATGTGGCATTAAATCAAGAAGACCATGTTGTAAGTGCACATCAGTTTTGGAGACCTCGCTCAACACCGAATACAGCAATACGGAGAAGGGTTCCGTTGAAGCCAACTTCAACTGTTTATGGTTCACCAAAGTTACATTTGAGTACAGCAGAAAACGGATGTTACTGATAATGAACTCTATTTCATTATGGAGCTGAGAGGATCTCTCCATCTCTGCACTGGCTTGACCCGCCATCCCTCAAGTCCTGTTCCCCTCTTGAAGCGGAAACAGCAACCCTTGACCAACTGAGGTAATGAAGCCCTCTCACCACAAAAACTCTATGTTGACTAAAAGTCATGCGTTTACCACATATCCTCCACGTCATACGTACGCATTGTACATTGAATTACAAATCACTGCATCTAATTCAACCAGAAATTACGAACATGCTGAAAAACAGTACCGCTTAATGTGTTCATCGACATTTAGAGTTCTGTTCAGAACCTAACCTGAGCTATTGCATCATGGAAATACCTTACGTATCATTTAGATGATATGAAACGACGTATCTATCTTAATCAAATTAACAGGGACCAATGGTCTCATTATCATCAAGGATACCTGAGATGGAATGTGGAAGAGTCAGCCGCGGCGAATGGTTGTCCTTGTCGTTCCTGTAGATTGAGGTCTGAAGAAAATTGATTTCTTTGTCCACTTACACAGAGCCAAGTTCTACGGCGCCCTAAAATGAGCGTTGTCTCTTTGCCAAGAGATGAACAAGGCAGATATAAAATAAAACACCAGAAACCTTATACATACACTGAAAATCAACTTAGGTACTTTTATAGATGAGGAAAATAACTACCACTGTAAGGTTGAAACTAAGCAATCAAGCCAACGTAGGGGAAAAGCAGCTAGCACTTCTTCAATGTAAGTTTGTTCAATGTGCGTATAGCAACAGGCCAGGGTTAACAACTGTCAAAATTATAAAAGCAATCACAGCGCTTAGCTTTCAGTCATGCTAATGTTATCACCTATTTCGAGCTTTGATGGTACGGTAAATCATGGCTGAAGGCTGGAAACCACGTTCAACACACTATATCTGAACACGACTTGCATGGACAAAGCTAATGTAAAAGGAAAAACTTCCAGGATCAGCTTTCTGTCAACAATTCTTTACGGCAATCAGGTCTCAAAGATTATATACACATCATTAGGCTTTGTCGCACAATCCAAAGAAATTCTTTTCCCAGACCCGTCAGATAGTGATTCCACATTGGTAACAGCACAGCCGAAGCTCTAATGACCGTCGTGAAGGAATATCTCATCATACGGGCAAAAACGTACTGACAAGTACACACAGGAGCAAAGGGTCTGATTCTCTCAGGCTAATGCCTCGCCTTTGCTTCATAAGCTCAGAAAAAACTGGCAAAGCAGCGGTTGGCAAATTCCAGCACTTTCGCTGAAAAAAACAACACAAGACATCGCGCTGTCGCTTTAACAGTGCCAGGCTTGCGTCATAAGCCCAGACTCGTCATCTTGATCCGTAGCTACCGGCAATTTCAAACACCCACATACGTCGCAGATTAAAACGAACCTAAGCCCTAAAAGAAAAACTAACGAGTCATTTAGAACCCAGGCACGTAACAGATAAAAATAAAATAAAATAAAATAATCTTCAAAAGGAAAACAGTGTAACGACTTCTACACCTCTAAATACTAAACATACCTGCACATTACCTTCTTCCAGCACGATAAAGGTACCCACACAAGGGCGGCACAACCATCCAGAAGAACAGCAGCACGCAACATTACGATGGGATCCAAGTTCTACCTCCAATGTTGTCCAGAAAACGGCAGACACTACTGCAATCTCGCACCGAAAGCTACGTTGTCTTCACATTGTGTCTGACCTCATCACACGAGGCTGCAACCTCGGGGTGGAGTTTCACTGACACGGATTGTACTGCTGCAACAGGATGCTGTGATGTCCTCCCAAAAATCAGAAACCCATGAGAAGTGGGTTTGCTTTATCAGAAAGGGAAGACGTGGTGCTTGCATGAGGAGAAGGAGATGCAGCGTCGGTGCAATGCTACCCATGAAGCAGACGACATCGCTGCAAAACTCCAGCTCAAGCTTCTGTCTCTGTCACTGACTGTTGCTCTTTCGTGCAGGCCTATCCCTGCATTTTCTTTCTCCACATTTCTGTTTCCCTGCTCCCTTTTCATTCTTTTCTTTGCTATTATTCTAACTTCCATTGTTAAAAAAACTAACTCAAGATGATTGAGGGCTGATGATTGTTGAGGATTGTGAATGTTGCAGAGTGTTGAGAAGTATGCTTAGTATTTATGAGCATTAAGTGATGCTGGATTTTAGTTTAGATGTTTGTGAATGGAGACTCTTTCTGACGTGGAAATTGTGCCGTAATGATAATTTAAAATATGCAATAAAAAAATCTATGTCACATAGTCAAGTGCAAATTTTAGTTCTGTTATGTAAATGTATTCAAAGTTTGAAATGTTTCGAATGATGTATGAAAACCATGTGACTGAATTCAACGTATGTTATCAGAGTTGGTGAAACAGGTCAGGATGATCGAAATTGAATTGCCAAATGGTAGAATTGCAACACATTACTAAAGGTTTCAATATATATATATATATATATATATATATATATATATGAAGTATTTTTTATCTTTATTTTTATTTATTTATTGTAATAATTATTAATTTTGACTTGTAATGTAGTTAGTTTAGCTGTGTGCCATGAAGTATAATAAACATCTTCCCGTTTAAATTATTACTTCTTCATGATTATTTTAAGGTTGAAAACACTCTATTTCATAAAACCAATTATATTGCTTCAATACAAATACAATTCAACAGCCATTCACAGTATTGGAGGTAAGCTTAGAAAGGAATTCCTTTTTTTTAACGTGTTGATGTATTGTGTCCTTTAAAATGAGATAATAATCAATGGGCTCCATAATAATTTGAATTGTAATTGTCGAAGATTATGCGTTATTACAGCACTGTAACTACTTATCATCTGAACTGCCAACACCTACAGAGGTGCATCTAAATTTTCATTTTATTTGTACAACCTCACAAAGTATCCATCATAGTTGAAAGAGAAAAGACATCATTTAATTACTCCTAATAAAGATTAATATCCACAGGAAAACAAGTTGGAAGGAACACATTTGTGCGGCACTGAACAGTTCTTTGATAGGTTTCCATCAGATTTTTGGTTTTAAACGTGTAGATTTTTTGTAACAGAATACCAGTAGCCACCAGTGTTTTAATCAAGAGCTTAAACTTACGCAACGCTGCTTCCGTTGCATTGCCCCTGTAAGTGCAATAACGAGTGTCCCCATCACAATAACAAGGAGTGATGCAATTTCCCCAACTGCGGCAAGCGCGTCACTTTGACAATTACTGCATAAACTTTCGGTCACATTTCAAACATGCCTACAAAGATCAACCTTGTGCAAGGTGTTAGCTTCTGGTTTTCAAATCTCAGGCTGAGCAGACGTTGAACATGTACATAGGAAAGGAAGTGACGCAACTATCCGGAAGAGATTTCATAACGGATCCAAGTTCTGAAGGGCGGAAAAGTTAACAATAACACTTACTAGTACCAGTGTTATTGAACGAATCTGTGATCCACCACAACAAAACAGCATTATATTACTGACATGCACAGTTTGTTCATAGCACAAAAAGAATGCCATTCACTGCAAACGAACGGTTCATGTAGATAGGTAAACGCAACGTGTGATCCCTGCAGCGAGGCAAAAAGATGCTACTCAGAGGAAAATGCTCCGTCCAGGATTTGGGACAAAGGAATACAGCACACATCTGCAACGAACAAAATACAACTAGGTAGCCTCTAACCAACAAATGAGTGCTTCCGAAGTTAACTTTGAAAACCCTGCAATGATTCAGCAATGTTCGTGATAACTCTGAGAAACGCTTGCACTGAATACCCTCTGCAAGCACACTCAGCTCGCGTCAAAATCAACAACACGGAGAAATGCTCCTGGTTTCCTAAATGAGGAAAGACCTGAAATAATTTGGTGATTGATTTCGGAATGGATTGGGAAAAAGAAAACATCGTAAGTGTACAGTAAGGAGAGGCCTATCATGATTGTAAGACTTGTACATGGAAAGGGGCAAGGTGAAGTACCTCCAAAGACCCAGACCCTAAGCTTGACCATAAACCCTAATTGTGAGGATGGAAGAATCAGACAGCAGTGGGTTCCCCCTTGGGGGGTTCAATCTGCCTGACGGCGGCGTCCTCGGAAGGCATGTATCTCCTCTCCCTAAATTCCTTGATGGTCCAATTCGAGTTAATCTTGGGTTTGGGTGGCTCAATGGGTGAGCCAATTGGTGCCACAATATCAGGGTTGCCGTCCCCAATCACGCCATCCACGAGACCATACTCCTTTGCCTCCCACGCATTCATGAAATTGTCTCTGTCCGTGTCAGCTTCCACCTTCGCCTCTGGCTGCCCAGTGAGCCGCGACATTATCTTCTGGAGCTTATACTTGTGATACATCATCTCCCGCACCTGCAAAGCGCCGTCAATGGCTGTGCCACCGGCGCCACCCAACGGCTGGTGAATCATCACCCTTGCGTTGGGCATGCAGTACCGTTTGCCTTTCGTCCCTGCGGCCAGCAAGAACGCTCCCATGGACGCCGCAAGGCCAAAGCACACAGTTGACACATCCGCCTTGCACAGCTTCATGGCGTCGTATATCCCCATGCCCGCAGTCACTGATCCCCCGGGCGAATTGATGAAAAGCTTGATGTCCTTAGTCGGGTCCTGCGCGTCCAGCAGCAACAACTGGCTGATGATCACGTCAGCCGAGAAGTCGTCCACTTGAGACCCCAGGAACAATATCCTCTGCTGCAAAAGCATCGTCGCGGGATCCAAATCCTGCAACCGAGCAAATTGCTCAATTCCGCCAGGTGCACCGGGCCCCCGCATCGAAACCCCAGGGAAACTATCCATGGCTCCAGTCCTAGCCATCACCACGCTGCCTTTGCTGCCTGCGGCACCACATCCCTTCCCCCACACTTGTTGCAAACATTGCTCTCCGCGTTGCGTCCTCGCCACTCCTCCATTCGGTGCCCACAGATACGCCGGCAGCTTCGAGCCAACAAACAAAGCAGTGGGTGCTCCCATCGCTCCCAGCTCCCAAACCAGACGCGCGAAAACAAAACCAACGACGACCCAGTTGAAGATCAGAAGCTTCGATTCCACGGGACGCAGCAAGTTAGGATTTTGGGATGGGGCTGGAAGGATTGCGGAGGTGGAAGAAACAGGGCGACGATGGATGGGGTGCGTTTCCTAAACCCTCTACATGCCCCTCTTCACACGCATTGAACCGTGGGGAGGATAGGGTAGTGTCACCTATGACCGACCCTTTCAATCCAACACAGCGTAATGCAATCACCTGTTGCATCTGGATTATGAGAAGAAATTATATATATATATATATATATATATATCAATAATAATAACAAAGAGAGAATTTACACGTATCTTGATCGCATGATTCAGATTGCTTGAACCTTGCTGAGCGGCATTCATTCCGGTAGTTTTCATCCTTGGCGGTCTTAGGTGACACTGCGGTATTGGGGCGTCCGGCGGTTTTGGGTCACTATCCTATATCTGTGACATTTTTGTTCATCTTGCTGATCTAAAGAAACATCACAATTATTTTATTACGGAGTAGATTGGTTGTTAAATTATAATAACCGAATTCTCCAACAATTCAACATAATTTGATTTTTTCGGATTTTTTATTAGCTACAAAGATAGACATAAAAGAATAGCAATTCGATATCAATTTTTAAATATTCTTTGAAAAGATTTCAGAAGAAAAAAGCTTTGTATATCAAGTTCCTAGTGTACTTATTTATTTATTTATTCTTAGCAGCTTGCAAGGAAATTTCACTTTGATTTTGTTTTTTATGGACTCAGACAGTTGAATGAAGATGTCTCTGAAGCACGGACCAAAAAAATTAGCGTCTTTTTTGAAACTCATAAGCTCAAGCACAATGTGGTTAATTTGTATGAATACTTCTTTGACACAGCCATATTTATTCTGTTGTTTTTCTGTGGAAAATGGTTTGTATAGTTGAAAAGAGGATGCGCTTCATTCTTTTTTAAATGAATGGAACTTTTGAAACCAATGTTCTAAATCTTGAGTTCTTTGTTGGATTGCACATTGAATGTAAGCATCCTAGAAGACAGATCTTCGGACAACAGTATGCATATCCAAAAATGATAGTGAATATGATTTGGAACTTCAAGTTCACTCACAATCCTTGTGCATTTTGACTCTTAGCTACAGCAAATAAATCTGGCAGACACCAAATATTCCAACCAATTTTATTTTATTTATTATGGCTGTTAGAAAGTCTTTAATTTGCATCTCTATGCATATGTTTGTCTATTACGTACTTAGTCACCAATGTATCATACTTCAAGTCAAACCCAAGTCAAAGCAAGTAAAGTTCATTCCAATGCAATTCATCAAATCTTGAAGTATCTCAACTGTATTGCGCATCTTTGACTTGTTTATAATGGTACTTATATTCAACCAATTCTAGTTCGCCATGCAAATGCGATCTATGCAAAAAGCTTTAACAATTAAAAATTGCAACAGGAGACCAAAGACTTGGAGATCAAAGAAACAAGATTGCATTGTTAACAAAAAAACACATGATGTTTACGTGACATGTATTAGAAAACAGTACTAACGAGTCGCAATGACAGTCTTAGCTCCCTGTACAATGGAAAAACAGATGACGATTATGGTACCAATTTCCTATCTTTGAGAGGCTCAAGCACATTGACATCTTGTTCGATGAACGTCGAAGCTTTGTGCGTAGGAGCTTACTCAAATCAGAGATCTTCGAGGGTCTTGATTACTAAAACACTTTATTCGTCGCCAGGTCGATAGTCATTTCGAACCTTCCACACGTAGCAGACGGTGTTTTCAACAGCTTGCCACGTGCAATCACATTCTGGACTTCAAGGCCTTCGGGGCTCAATATTACGATATCTGCATCTGCCCCTGCCTCCAATTTCCCTGCACAAAAGAAATGTATGTCATGCATTAATAGTAGCAAGGGCTTGAGTTTCACGAATAACTCGTGAGTAAAAGATGTGATAAAAAGGGGTAGGAATTTTCTCGACATGTGAAACCAGATTGATTTTGCCTTCACATGCTTGCCCTTAAAGCTTTTATTAAGTTGATGGTACATTTCTTCTATTCCAGATGAGGATGAGGGATATGGCGAATAAATACAACTCTATACTTGTTAAATCCAAGCTGGCTGCTGTAAGAAGACAAATTCAAGTACCTTTTAACTCCAAAGTCAGAAAAGAGGCGGGGTTGGTGGTACTGAATTGCAGAGCATCCTCAAGTGCCCACTTGCCCTTCTGCACCAGTCGCCGTATAGTGTTCAAATTTGCTTTGGGAGATGCAACTTGGTAATCTACAAGCTCTCCTTCAGAATTGAATTTTGGTAGAGAGCCGAACGCATCTGAGGAGAGGGAAACTCTCTGGAGAGCAATATTTCCAATACGTTTGTTCCAGTCCATCAGTGCATCGTATGACACTCGTTCGTCTTCCTGATCGGATGTGAAATCAACGTGCCCTCCTTTGATCACCCATTCCTCAGCAGCCTGTTTTCTCAAACATGAAGTTCAGTGAAGGTGCGTGCCACAACTTGAAAACCCTAATCCCCCACTTGTCCACTGTATCTCTAGCGTGATAGAAAGCCACATCACGAGGTTTGACTCTGAACTGAAAAACATGGGAACCTTGCTACAAGGGACGCTTAAAAATACAACCTTGAGAAGAGCAGGCCCGCGATTGGAGACGTGAGTGGGTATCATGTGCATCAGAGGAATGGCACCCCTACTTGCATTCACCACATCCCAAAGCGGCTGCAACAGTGAATCCGCAGACCCTGTGTGGAAGTGCACAATTCCTGCCTTTCCGGATAACATACCTCCAACTCGGGCATCTGTAACCAAGCCTAATAGCTCCTGCAGTTGATGCAGAGTACTTTTCAATTCAAATAATGACAGCGGTACTAATCTAGGGTTTAAACAGAACCTCATATAAGTAACTTGACCCACATGAAGAGAAATGCATTCTCGAAATGCCTATACAAAGATGGTCATTGCAACATACTTCAAACCAGAAGTCTCTGCAGTTCGCTGTCGAGGGTATTTCCTCTTTGATTACTCTGATGCTTAATAAATTAACATAGCGAGAGTGTGATTATGGAACAGCATTTGGCTTGGTTGTCAAGTTGAAGAGATGCCTTGAATGAGGGAAGACGACCTGCGTAGTGGGCCAGCTACTCCGATGGTCACTGATGGCGATCTCACCGGCACCAATGACCTCGTCAATAAGCTGCAAATCTCGAATTAGCGAGCCGGTGAGAGTAGGGGTTGGCACACGGTAGCACCCGCTCCACATGTACGCCGTGATGCCTTGGCGCTGCAGCGCTGCCACTTTAACACGAAGGTTCTCAAGGCTGTAAAAGAGGATGACCCTACATTAGGTCAAGTACTACAGAACAAGAGGACTACATGGAGAACCAACATAGATCCACACCCCTACTCAATTTCGTGAAAATAGAAAACCAAATATCAAACCAAGTGCCATCTCCTAGTACCCCAAATCTCTAAAAAATTACAAACCTTCTAGACACACAATCGGTGCCAAGAATACCGACGACAGTCGTAATCCCAGAAGCAACAAGCTCTTCCACAGTAGCCTCGGGGGTGCGACTGGCAGGACCCATCTCCCCTCCTCCTCCCGTGACGTGCGCATGAATGTCGATCAATCCAGGCACTACAAACCCACCTGCCGCATCCACTACTCTCACAGGCAACCCGGTGAGATTGCCCAAAGGGTAATCCTCCGGTAGAATGGAGATAATTGATCCCCCTCCCGTGAGAATCATGGCGCGACCTCTGGGTGACGGAGCGTAGAGCTGCCCATTCGTGATGAGCAGCATGGGAAACTCTCCACCATTACTGAAATCCCGACAAGTATTGACGGCCGAGTGGGCAACAGAGGGCACGCAGAGGAGACCCAGGAGGAAGATGGTGACACTGTAGAGGAACTCCATAGCTGGGAATCGAATAAAGCGCCTTGTGGGTCATGTCAGTGAGCTCATTGTGACGCTCAAATCACTTTACTCGTCGACTACGACTTGTTGATTCTTGCACATTGTGCACAACCCGAATTTGGAAGGCTGCATCGCATTGCGTTGCCTAGAGAGGAGGCGCGCTGGATGCTCGCGGCACGACATTAGGGCTAGGTTGGACATAGGCCCAGTTGGGAATAGGTCCTGTTTCTTCCCAATCTTAGGGTGTCCGTGGCCATAGGTCTCCTCATCATCTCAATTATATGAAGCACTTTTTGAGGTATCCATTGGGTGACTCTGCCATATTTGTTATGTTGCGCATCATGGCCATGACATTTTCAACCTCGTTGTGTCCTAAAAGCTTAGCTTTTAATCACACATAATTTAACACAAGTGTTGGAAAAAGTATAACAACTATCACAATTTGTGATTTGTATGTAAATTAAATACAAAATATATATATATATATATATATATATATATAAAAAGAAAGTCAACTTTTAGAGAATTCATCACCTCTTATGAAAATTTTGCTGCATTGGTGAATAATTCACAAAAAGTGATATATAAATATAAAGGTTGATTGTGTTGATATGTTTTTCCCTATTTTTCAAAACACATACGAAAAATGAATGGAATATTTTTAAAATGAGAAATTTAAGATAAATACTACAATATTACAAAGAAAAATACAATTGAACATTATATTTAATTACACCAAAATTTTAAAATAAGCTATTGCAACATGATATTAAAAAAAAAATGTCAAAAGATAAATTCCTTTGTAAAATATTGATCTTATTATTATTCTTATTATTATTCTTATTATTATTATTGAATATTAAGATGATATATTATTAAAAAAACGTATATATAATTATATATATATAAGTCATAAGTGAGTTTTTAAAGTTTATATTGAAACCAAATATAAGGTTTAAAAAAGTAATTTGGAAATGTTTGATTACATCAAATGTGAGATAAAGTCTAATATGTAAGAAAACTATGAAAAAGATCTTACTTTATATTTTTATAATAATAAATGCTCAAGTAAGAACTATTATAGAGTAGAAAATCATGTTGAAATAGCAAGAGGTTTCTTAGAACCTTGTTTAATATTTCATGTAGGATAAATTTTCATATTTCTAAATTTTCATATATCTAATTTAGGTATTTTTTTAATATTGTGTGGTGGTTATGATTTTTTCTTGTTGATCATATATATATATATGTATATATATATCTGGACTTATCAATATGGACTTATCAATATATATGTACATAGTCTCTTATTGCTGAATGAAAAAAATGATTTTATTATTATTATTATTATGCAAATTTTTGTTATATATGTTGTTATTTACTTAGATCTAAAGTGGAGAAATTAATGTCATATTCTAGATTATGTATACACCTTACTTAAATCAAAGTAATGTTAAAACAAAAATACATATTATTGTGTGATCAAAAGTGTGACCAACAAAAAATCATAAGCAATGGTACACTACAGTGGACTACCAATATGAGATTAAAAATATTGCGTATCTATAAATTCAGACATATAGATATTGATAATGAATTGAAGAACCATGGAGACATGCCTAGCCTTATAGACGATGGCTTAGCTATTACTAACCAAATTTTGTTACACAATGTGGTTTATATATCAATTTTTTTATCAACAGTATATATTCAAAAGGAAAAAAGAAAAAGAGAAAAAGAGGAAAAAAGAAAAATAAAAAGATATATATATATATATATATATATATATATATTGAGAAGAAATTAAGACTCTGTAATTTAAAAATTAAATATCAAAATTTTTAGCATGAGAAATATTATTATAAATCTATTATGTTCTTTTCAAAATTTAATTTTTGGAGAGGCCTGTTCTATTTTAATAGTAGTATAAATGATGGTTTTGTAAAATAATTATAACTATATATATATAGATTCAAAGTTTTTAAAAATTTGATATAATTTTTTTATAATAGAGTAATATACATATAAAAAAATAAAATAAATAAAATTGACGTAGATGTTGATTGTTAAATCAAATTAAACATGATTTATTTATTTATTTATTTTAATATAAATTATGTGTAAATTCAGGTAATAGCTATGTCCTCTCTAAAGTTGTTTGAATAATTTTTGGAAAATCATGATATGATTGGATTTTTGATATTATTACATATGTATATAGTTTTTATTATTGTCTTTTTTTATTAAAAATAATTATTTTTATTTAGTTAATTTCTAGTAATATGATGGAAGTAATGAAATACTAATATCATCAAAAAAAAAATTATTTTTGTGGATATCATACATTTCATGTTTATCAAACTTTAAAACATCCAATCCAATACATATCCAACATCAAACAAGTCATCACTCTTAAAATATATATATATATATATATATATATATACATACATATACACAACATCGAGCTTTTAAATTAGAGAGATTTTACAAAGCTCAAAAAGTAACTACATATCAAAAAGAATTGAAAATTGTAAATACTTGATTAAGAAAACCAAATATTAAACAACTATGCAAAAAATGTTGTAAAAATACTATTATATTATTTTTCAAGAAAAGATGTTTTATCAAATTGAAAAATTACTGTTTCAAAATTTATTTTTACTATTTAATTATTTTATGAATTTAATTTGATATTCTTGTCATACTGATCTAAATACATCTTTTTTCTTGTACTGAAGTTTTTTGTTGAACGTACATACCTTCTTCCTTTTCTTTTTTTTTTTTTAATCAAACTCGTTTCATAACTATTTTGTGCCAGCAGTTTAGATTTGTTGTTGAATTTTACTGAAAATGAAAAAAATAAAACTTGTCTTCTAAACTCAAAGTTTTTATCCAGATTGTTCCAAGAAAATCTGAAGCTAGGTTATAAAAAAAATGTATCAAGTGTATATCTCTTATTGTTTGCAATAAACAACAGAATAGGAATTGACATGGTTTTTGAAAAAACTTTTGCCATCTCTCAGCAACTTTTTGCTGAATATGATTTTTTTTTATTGCCTCATATATATGTCATTTTTATATATCCATCTGATTTAATTAAATTCTTATTTTAAAATTTTAAAATTTCTGTAATTCTTCATTTTATATTTTAAAAACATAATTAAGGTCTTAGAATTAACACTCAATACTTTGTAAATATAAAAATAATGATAAAGGTTGGTTAATCATTTTAAAAAAAAACAGAACAATTTGAGGAATTATTTTTGAAAAACATTCAGCTAGCTGCAGCCTCAATTGCATCAGATGTCAAAAAAAAAAAAAAACAAAACAAAACAAAACAAAACAAAAAAGCAAAACAAAAAAACAAAAAAACAAAAAACATTTTGTTAATTTTAAACAAACAAGCAAACATAATAATTAATATTAAGTATTTATTCTATTTTATTTCATTTTTTTTATTCAAAATAAACTCTGTTGATGTTTTAAATTCTATTTAATTTTTCTTTCCAGGCTTCAATTGATGAATGTCATTATCGTAGTGTTTCTTATTTATCCATACATGCACACATACATATTAAAACTAATATTATTAATTAATTCCTTAGCCAGTTTGATGCACACACACAGAGGGAGACAAGCAAGCTCAGGACTGACACGAGAAATGGCGTGCGTAGAGAGCAGTAAGCTTAGCTTAGCTTGGCTTGGGCAGGCTGAGAAGGTCAAGCCCAACCAGGCAAAGCATGGCATAGCCAAGCATGCCTCACAAGGTGCAGCACCACAAGCCACGGAGGGAACCACCAGGAACCAGAAAGAGCATGTCTGTCTGCACAGTCATTCCCTCACTCACTGAGTGAGAAAATGAGTGAAAGAGTGAGTGAGTGAGGGAGCGAGCAGGGGAGCAGCGTGGCTCATCACTTTGGAAAGCAGGGCCCGCCCGCCCGCTCGCCCGCACCCAGCCCCCACCCCCCCGTCCGCCACGCCACCCAGAGGTGGGGGCCTCGCATTCTGTTGCGCCTGCTATACTCCCCTTTTCCAATAGCTAATCTGCTGCCACAATAGACCCAGAGCGCCCCCCATCATGGACTTCGTGGCCCCAAGCTCCGGGATCGCCCAGTATTCCACGCGATCACTCCTGCCTGCCTGCTACCATCCCTTTCGCACCCACTTCCGTTCCCCACCCCCCCTCCCTCCAGGACCATCCATACTCACTCCATCACTCTCTCCTTCCCTCTACCCTGAATGCTCTAGTGTCCTGCTTTTTGTCGGTTGGCCAACCCGACTAGTCCAACGGGGTGGAGTCGCTGCAGCGGATGCCTAATCTATGGCGCGCATGTGGGCACCAGGGACCTCCAGGATAAACACGGCCTTTTCCCCCTCTGCGCTTATTGTATGATGTTCCTGTGGGTGGTGGCGCCAAGTCGTGTTCCGTCGATTCCATCACGCTCTAGACCCACACCTTGGGTGCTTTGAGTGCGTGCAAGGCGCGGCGTATGTTGATGGCGAATTACACTTGTCTAGTGGGTATAAGTGAGGGGTGCTAGTTTCCGCTGTTGCCTTAATAGCCGCCACGATGGGCGTTATCGTGCGGGACCCCGGCCTTGGCGAGGTCGGAGCCAAGGTTTTGGTTCGGAGAGATGAGAGTGGCTACGGTGAGAGTGAGATCAAAACGAGCTGTTGTTTTGTTGACGTTGGGCCATCAAGGTCGAAACTTGTGTTTTGCTATTGGCCTGCGTTGCGCGTGGTATCATTCTCACTACCTCGCTCTTTCTTGTGACAGTTTGGTTTCCAATCCAAACCTCTCTCTCGTTCATTGCTCAACCACCTAGCCCACCTTCTCCCTTATAGCATCCTCCTATGGCTCGGCCCAGCTCCTCCTCCTCCTCGTTGCATGACCTTCCTGATGACGTTCTGGTACTCGTCTCGGCTTGCATTGATTACCGCGATCTGCTGCACCTCAGCTTCACGTGTAAGAAGCTGCACGAGTTGTGCACCTCTTCAAACAAGCTATGGATGCCGCACTGCCGCATGGCGATGCTGCCATCGCAACCTCCGCAGGACCTGCTTCCACACTGGCGATCTGCAGTCGAGTCGGCTAAGGCTCTACTGCGGTTCTTAATCGCTGTGAAACCCTTGATAGGTATTTGGGTGCATCAGAACCCGGAGTTGGGAAATTTGGTTTATGTAACGTGGGGGTTCGTGTCCGTGGTCGCATGTCGCATTATTCCACAGGAGCTCGGCCCGCAGGGCTTCGACTCCGGGCTTCTCTGGGCACCTGTTTTTGAAATTCTGGCCAATCGCGATGGCACATTGGTCTTCTTCCTTCACGGCCGGGAGAGGGATCGTAACTTTCTCTATCCTGGGCGTTTCAAGGCATCCAGCCGGAAGCCCAATGTGCTGTTGCTGGAAGCAGAGCCTCTCCTCAAAACTATCCATTTGCGGGAGTCTCCCTCGTTTGATTCCACCGGAGAAGATTCAGGCGGAGAGGATCAAGTGACGATCTTCTGCAAAGGATCCATGGGGAAGAAGAAAGCTGTTGTCGCTGCGGATCCAGTCCCTTTCCATCGCCTTGCATTCGGTGACAGGAGGCGGTTGCTGGAAGAGTTGGCTCCACAAGTTCGCGTGCCGATTCCACCGCAGGCCACATCGGGGCCTGCGTTTCTCTCATCCCAAGAAAGAAAACCCTCACTGGCCACGGACGATGGCTTCCAACGACAAATTGGCCTCATGTCTGAGAGAAGGATAGCAATGTTGAGAACTTATGCAAATTCGACTGAACCAGGCTCACCCTATAGGGGCGTCGATTCTGCTACCCTAGTGAGAAGTATGTGTGCCGCTGCGGAAAGTTTAGACGCCATCGCCAAGACATCGTCAACAAGTGACAAGCCGGCCTCCACAGTACAAAATCGGGTAAATGCTAATTGTGCGTCTCCCTCATCCGGACCTCAAAGTGATGGATCTTTGAAGAAAATGGGATTTGCTCGATTTTTGAGAAGCAAACTTAAGCAAATAGTGGGTAAAAATGGAATTCAGGACTCTTCCAGGGTTAATTCGCCCAGTGCTTCCGAAATGAAGCGGTTGCAGCTTCAGGAGTTTTTGAAGCAAGAGAAGGCTGTCGGTCTACGATTGCAGGCAACGAGCTGGCGGTTGAGTTTTTACCGTGCATGGCCCATCATGCACGACAACAGGTTTGCGCTGTACAAGATTCCGGTGCAGAAGCAGAGTGAGGGCCGAGAGCATGCAGGGCTCTGGGGAGGAACGTTTGGTTGGCCTCTTGGTCGCCCGACTCAGGAAAAGCTTGGGGTGCCCTTGTTCTTCCTGCTCCTTTCGTACGATGAGAATGAAGAGGGTCTGCACTTGATCGCTACCAAGATCCTGGAAGGCACACATTATGTGTTGCACCCTAATGGATCTGCAATGTTCACAGCTAAGATTAACGAGCCTTCCTCTGAGGAATTCCCATTCGACATGAAATCCGAGGGATGTGCACTCGACATTGTGAAGACCTCTCAGGGAGAAGGGATTGCCAATGGTTATGGATTCCGCTATCCAGGTTCGAAGCCAGGTGACTTGTTTGAGTTTCACAATGGGGCGTTGGCTTTTGTGTGGAGGGAATCACAGGCAGTCTTGTCATTGCAAAGGATGGATCTGCAATCTTTGCTGGAGAAAGGGGAGAAAGTGACGGCCCTTCCACCTATCTCCAACTTTGCATACCTTACCAAATCGTACTCAAATGTGTTTGCGGGCTATTGTGGCCCTATGGCGACGGCCGAGAGGAAGTAAGTACTGGAGCGATCTTTCGAATACACACAGGACATTCAAAATAAAACAAGGTCTAATAAATTCTGTGGAGGTCCTGAGGAGGCAGTTTTTTGAAGTGGAGAACAACCATGAGTGCTTCTGTCTAGATATATTAGGCTGAAGGAGGAGGAGGTGGAAGAGAGACATCAGGTTTACTATGGTGGAGCAAATAATTATTTGATGGTAAGCTTCTACATTCTTTTCTTTTTGAAGTCGCCAATTTGGTTATTGTTCTTCTAGTTGTTTTTCCTGCTTTTGGGGACCTGGCGTATTGGAAGGTAATTTACGAGGGGAGGTTTTGAAGTGGTCAATGTTGTGAGTTATCAATCTTCGTAATTTTATTCATGTTTCATTTCTTGATACAAGTGTGGTTGTCATTCTTTAACAAGGTTGCTGGGGTCATATGAGTTAAGCTATGAAGCTGGAAGTGCCTTCAGATGTGATTACAGTCTACTATTCAATTCTCTCATGTAGAGCTTAGATCTTGGATTTTGCTTTTTTTCAATTGTGGGTTAGGCCTTGCCAAAGGCTTTGAACTACAAGAAGCGAGGTTAATGTGATTGGATTGGCACTTGACTTATATACAGGATGCTACACATGAAATTGGAACGGTGTCTTTGCATCTAGCGTGTGGCACTGGAGCCTACGAAGTTGAAAAGTTCGGTTATGTACCATATATTATGCAATTTACTATCTTTCTACAATCGGATCTGATTGTCTAAGATTAAACTACAGCATTAGCCCTCAGTACCTTTGGAAGAGTTGTAAGACGCATAGAACTGGGTATTTTACTTCTCGCCACCAACCACCGTGGACTTGAACTAATCGTCAGTGAGCTAGTAATGGAGGGAACCTGCTCACCACAGAGTTAGAGACTTGGGTTTCAAAACCTAGAGCGACCGTGGTGATCACCTCATTCGGAGCTGAGTGAGCCATCTTCAAAGCAGCTGCGCATCACACCAATCCGAGCTGCAATTAACTTGTGCTACGAAGAGCAATGGAATGGAAGAACAGTCGCCCCATATTCAATAGTAACCAGCCCGACAGTTCAACGCAGCAATGTACCTGATGGATCAAAGCTATTGACAGGTTTTTCATCAGGTTTGGAACAGCTCCTTGCACTAATTCCGATTCCAAGAGAGTACTTATTAGTGTTATATGTGGTGTCCACGCTATTCCACAACGTCGAGGCTATTTCAATTTTTAAGTAAATAGATGGCTGATAGTTCTGATACAAAGCTCATCAATCCAAATTATTTTTGAGATTCTTTCTGGTCATTGAGGGTAAAGTTTCTTGGGTTTGTTATGGATGCCAGTGCTGGAGATATAATCCTCTCCTGCACTTGTAGACTTTCTTTGTGAATTTTTTTCCTGAGCTATTTACCATCATATTGACTTATTTATATTGTTAGTTATGAAGACTATGGGGTAAACACGATGATTTTGTGCATGAACACTCTTTAATGGCAGTTAGTCCATGTTTGAATCAAAATTCTAGTCTTTATATTGCTTTATCCCATAGTGTTTCAATAGTATTTACAAGGGGTTGAATTCCAATAGTGCTGAAGCCAAATACCACTACACCAAACTCAGTACAATAAATTCTGAAGTAAGATTTCCATTGATGTTTCATAAGATTAGACTTAAAAGATCTTTAACTAATTAACATTATTTTTCTTATCGTTATTATTATTTGATTTGTATTGTTATACTTTCAACTAAAATTTATTAACTATTATATAGTTTCTAAATGCTTGAAATTTTTTACTTAATAAAATATAGGTAAATACATAAAGTTCCAGATTTCTTCAACTTTTCTATAGTTCTAATGTATTTAGAATAGAATATGAACAAGCTGTTTTTGAAAAATGAAAACGTATTCAAGAAGTTATTTATTTATTTTTATTTTTAATATTTTTTCTAAAATTCTTAAGTAGATAAGATTTCGATTACATTTATAAAGAATACTAATATATGATTTTAATTAGTTTATTTTTAAAGAAATTCATACGATTACTGTATCTTTAAACCTTAAATATGTATTAAAGAACATAAGGAATAATTTAACTCGCAACATTCCAATATTCAGAGTCTACTGTTTTAATTTTCATATTTTTACAATATACAATATTATTCAAATGGTGTATAAAATATTTACATGATCGTACTTGATTTTATGTTGAGTTATTTTTGAGGTTTTTTAATATTGTTTTGAGGATTAACATTTTAAATGAGAAATTCCTATATATATATATATATATATATATATGTATTTATAAACAATAAATAGATTATTGAAGCTTTATTTGTTTTGAAAGTATTGTACAATTTTTTTTATTTATTATTCCAAAAAATCAAATAGACATTATATTGATCTTTGCACTCGAGCTGCAATATTTTAAAACCATAAGTTCAAAGAAAATTATAAAACTCCTAATTACTTGAGGTAATACATTAAGAAGTGCATCAAGAATTAATAAAATAGAAATCCAAAATCAATCTTTTAATGGATGTTTTTCAAAGAAATCATTTATTTATTGTGGAATAAAAATTTAAAATTTTCAAAGAAATTATGAAATAAAAATGATTTGTGTTTCAATAAAGTAATCATTCATTGCTCATACACATTCTCATACACTTTTTACACAGAATAAATGCAACTTAACTATGCATCTGGCACAACCTATAAAAATAGGACAAAAACAACTGGCAACAATAAAGTCAGATCAGATCAAGACAAGGACATGCTTCACTATGTTTGTTGAAAACTAAAGACATTACAATTTACATATAAATTCAAGATCATCACAATCTCAAAATTCCAAAAACAACAGCAAAAATCAAATCAATATCTTCATCTTGAGCGCTTCCAAGCAAACATCCCAAAATTTTAACTGAATCAACAGAGGCCCTCATCTCTGCATGGCAAAATTCACAACCAACGAACCTCACAAACTACAAAAATTTCCAGTTGAGGACTGCAACATGGTGCAACTGCGCAGAGTCTCCATCCTTAAAATAACGCAACTTCCAAAGTGATAAATCCGAAGAGTAATGTGCAACACTAGAACTTGAAGATGGTTTTGCAGGATCTGCAAACTGGGTGCTCAGCGGTGCAAATCAGACAGCAGCGATTCATGCCCGAGCTATAGCTTTCGTCGTGGTGGTCTACACAAGGGATACAATGATACACAGGATCAGTGTCAGTACATCCCACGTCTGAAGGTTTGCTCTTCATACTTGGGATGTAGTACGCGTCAAGAGCGCAACATCCGTTTACCATGTCGTAGCACTACGAAAACGCTAAATCCTTGTGACTAGAAAGCACGGTACACAGTAGAGGCCTGGTTTACAGCGAGCATGATCTACTGTTGAATCCAGACTGCTCCGAAAGAGGTTAGAGCCTGGACGGATGCATTTGCTATAGTACCTGCCCAGATATCAGAGCGGCTTTGTGTGTCTTCTCTTCACTGATGATTTTAACTTAGTCGGTTCCACCGGAAGATTTTACTGGTCAACATCCTTTGAGTTGAACTATTACTTTTGATGCAGTAGTTGTACCGTAGCTCCGACGACCATTAGCAGGATCATGCTACGTTGGGTCGGCGCTCGTTGGAGGAGACCTCTGCTGAGTGTACTTGTCTGGCACCATGAGATCGGTTAACATGAAGGATTACGGACCAATTTTCACCTTTTAAGAATCGAAAGTGCAGTCAGGAGTACTCCAGGCGAAGGGATTCATCGTCACAAATGCTCTTGCAGGTACAAGAGGTAGCCTGCAACGGCGCTATTTCATGCAACGATGGAGTAATCAACAATCGAATTGCAATCCCAAAATGGTCATTTGCTTTAGTGACAGAACCAGGGATTCACACGGTATAATCCTTGTCATCTTTTACCGATTCATCTGAACATGACGAATTTCCGGGTTTAGAGCTCCTCCATGAATTTTGTCCATAGTTATCCCCACTTGGCAACGGACATTCCCCGTCCCCCCCTGCCCAGGTTAACAGGTCTAGTGTATTAGAACAAGCTGGGGTGCAAATCGGAGTGCATCAAAAAAGCCATGGTACATGCTGGAGAACCTACTTTTCTATTTAATTTATTCTCCCCGCCATGTGAAGTTGTGCATCACGAACAACTTGGTCAGTAATCTGAACAACTTGAAAGAGTTGTCTGCTGTGCATCACAGAGAGGGCTATGTTTGGCTCCACACCAGATCATAATCTAGCAAGTAATTGACCAGAAAAGCTGCAGAAGCTCCACTGCCGAATCAGCAGAGGAAATGTATTCTCAGTGCTGATTTCAGAAACAACACACAGACCAGGGTGCGTCGGTGTGAAAATGAAACGTCTCCGTTTGAGCGCATCGTTTTGGTGCCACTCTGACACCTGGTTGTACATTTTCTGCTTATTGAAGCCGAGGCCAGGGAACAGGGAGAAATATAGGTGGAACTGTCCAAAATTTGGTGCCACATAATTCACTTGCTGCTTACTGATTGGTATTGGTTCGTGCCTCAGATTAAGCTGCACGCATAATACCTTTGTAAATATATTGGTTCAATTTTTTGAATGAACATTCAAATATTGTATCGATAATAGCATCAACTAGTGGCTCTACCTGTTCGCTGGTTGCAGCACGAGCAACCATTTCTGAGTTGCTATGCAGACTCCAGCCAGCATGATACAATCCACTTCGATGCTACTGTATGTTATCATAATTTAATGCCCCACATGTTCATCCTGTTCCAATTATGTTTTTGCGTGATGAGGTCAACTCTGTTTAGGGAAAGCTAATTATACAATGTCTATATTTACAGCTAATGGCACGACACACAGCAAGCAAAGTCGGCCCGGGCGGTGAGGCTAAAAAAGGCAGTCACATGCCTGAGCTTTAGGCCGAAGCCCCGGTCAAGCTTCTCAAACCCTGAAAACGAAACTCGTGTGCCGGATCCAGGCATCAATACTTCAACAGTTCGCAAGGGAGAACTTCCTTGGATACGAATAAGACAAGGCCACGGTTGCGCACACTCTTTAATCGGTAAGGATTTTCGCGATTCTTGTTCTGGTTTCTCCATTACTTGGAAATGGCACTCACATGTGATACCAAAACGAAGTGCTGCGCTTCTCGCGCTCATGTGATAACATCAAAATTCCCCCACTGTTCGAGGCAGAAAAGAAAGATTACCTGAGCTATCATATAATGCAGTCAGGAAACCAGCTGTACCTAATAGATTAGTTCAATTCAAATTTACATAATAATTTTAAATTGGTTGTGCCAGAGAGATCACCTCCATCTTCCAGATCTAGGAATTTTACAGTACATGAAAAGGTAATCCTGAAACCACGGTCCGTTTTATTCTTGTTGTTCAAAATCAGAACATGAGTTAAGGTTGACGGAAAAATATTGGGATTGCATTCTATTCCAAAGACCTTGATTATATTAACTGCCCTTTAGCACTGCTTTCCAAATCTCTACCTGAGGAAAGTCCCTAGGGAACTGTGATAGTTTTCGGTATGAAAAGAACTGGATGGGTTTAGCGTTCGTCTGCACATCCAATGTACAGAGCGCAACGAATTGGCAATCATCGCATAAACGATTCAAACACCATGGTATGACTTATATTGAATTCACTTCGCATCTGCTCATCCTGCAAAGATTCATGCTTGGCACTTTCTTGTGGAAGTGTCTATGCATGAAACTCCGTCGGTCAGAGTCTTATTATCGAATAACCCCCAAAAACCAACTGCCCGCAGAGACTTCACAGCGCACCAGATAATCGTTTCGAATATAAAAGAATTCTAGAGGGAAATTCACAACAGCAGTGTACAATGGGGAATCAATTGTCCCGTATATTCGTACCTCTCCGATGAACCCATGCGAAGGAGAGCAGGAATCTGTTCCTTCGTTTGCATGTGCCTTGCCGCGTATGAATCAAGACTGGACTACTGTAACGGTGTGGCGAACCTTCGTGTATTGGGGAGCTGTTGACTTGTGCGTTTGTGACACTAAGCGCCGGGCACGACCCCATACCAACGATGGCGGGGACTCGGAGCCTGAATATTGTAAATGACGTCCGCAGCATTAATCCATGAGTCATCTCAGACCCTTCAGATGGCAAGTCCTCTCCTGGATATTGGCTTCATTGCTGGAAACGGCATTGGAGAGGGTCAGCTTTCCGAATCCGTGCTTTGATGTTGAGCTTGTCCTTTCAAAGCTCAACACTTGAGCAAGCCGTCAGGCTCATTCGGTCTCTTAAGCCTCAATCCAGACGGTGCATGCGTTCTCAATAATCACATGATGAACCATCCAGATTGGCTGCTATTGATTTTATGACACCTATGTCCTCGTCGAATCTGTTGCATTGTAACGCGTGTGGTTTCTCGAAATGTGAACAAGGCAGAAAGGTTTGCCACTGAGCACGCACAAGAAAGTTTGTTCATCCTGAATCACCTCCTCGGTATAAGCGACGAGACAATCTTCGAAGAGAGCATTCTGGTGCTATTTGGAGCTTCGACGGACGCAACATCGATACACATTAGAGATGGAAAAGGCGTTAGCTCCAAGATTGATTGTTTCATTTTTCATAATTCAATGTCTTGTGTTGAGTTCTGTACTTGTAGAAGGTCAGGGTACTTGGCAGATGCTTCAAAGAAATGCCGGTGTCTCCGCCATGCACACTGCCGTCACGCGCTTTGACACCGCTATCATGCTTGATCGGACCAACATTGGTCCCTCACAAATCAGGTTGCCCGGTAAACGATGCCGCAAACAGCCTTTAGAACGCTTTTCCAAGATCGATTGCTACGCCCACTCTGTCATGTTCAACCCTGCCAACGGTGCAGTCCGTCCTCTGTATGTCCAGACTGATACATGGTGCTCATCTGGGCAGTTCATGAGTAATGGAGTGATGGTGCAAACTGGTGGGGATTTTGAAGGCAACAAGAAGATCCGAACACTGGCGCCCTGCAGTGCTAGAGGAACTTGTGACTGGGTGGAGACAGCGCAAGAGCTGACTAGGGGGCGGTGGTATGCATCCAACCACATACTGCCAGGAGGTAACCGACAGATCGTAGTAGGAGGCCGGAATGAGCCCTCATACGAATTTGTGCCAAAGAGGAGAGCCGGCGAGGGAGCATTCAATTTGCCACTGCTCCGTGGAAGTGCCGACAATTTGTACCCGTTCGTGTTTTTGTTGCCCAACGGCGATTTTTTTGTGTTCGCCAACCGAGACTCGGTGATTTTGAATATCGGCTCCGGTAGGGTGGTGAAAAAGCTACCAAGAATTCCTGGAAATCCTCGAAATTATCCATCGGCTGGATCCGCAGCCATGCTTCCCATTAAGGCGCCACACAACTCCGTGGAGATTTTGGTGTGCGGAGGAGCTGGATATGGTGCATCCAGAAACGCGGACAAGGGAAAACCCGGGTCTTTCAGCTGTGGTAGGATTAACCCGACTGCTGCAAACGCGAACTGGGCGATGGAGAACATGCCGATTCGTCGTGTAATGGGTGATATGGTGAACCTACCGACGGGAGAGATCTTGATCATCAACGGAGCACAATACGGGTATCAGGGATGGGGAAAGGCAAGCAGTCCGGTCCTGCAGCCAGTGACGTACGATGGGGATGCGAAAGCCGGGAAGAGGTTCCAGACGCAGAGAGCCTCTGGTGTCGGCCGGGTGTACCATAGCACAGCCAACTTGCTATCAGATGGGCGTGTGCTGGTAGCGGGAAGCAACACTCACCAGTTTTACACATACAGGGGCACATTACCCACAGAGCTTCGCGTGGAGGCATTCGCACCGGCGTACTTGAGTGCCAAGTGAGAGTTACATCCATTCTTGTTCTCTTTCATAAGCTCAGCTCTATTGTAGCTGTTCTGAGCTGAACCAGAACAATGTCACAACTAAACTTCAGTGTTGAAAGGTTCCGTAACTGTATATAGTCTACAGAATCCGCAAATAAATGGTTCTAGGATGTTTTTATAATGATATAATGCGCTGTGGCTAATAAGAGACTACAAATTGCTTTCCTTTGCGCAGTTTAAATGACTGCCGGCCTCGCATCATGGAAGTCCCAGCAGCAATTGGATACAGACAGAAATTTAATGTGGCATTCCTTGCTAGGAGTAGGGTCGGGTATGTGGAGGTGAACATTCTCAGTGCTCCTTTCACAACCCATTCTTACTCTCAAGGACAGAGGGCCATCAAGCTTGCGGCCACAGTTCCGGGGAAATCAAGAGGATTCTGGGTAACTAGAGTAACAGGCCCCCCAAGCTCCAGCGTTGCTCCTCAGCAGTATTACATGCTGTTCTGTCTGCAGAACGGAGTCCCCAGTCGCGCCAACTGGGTCCGGGTGGGTTGATAGCTAGGAGTGATTTGGGCTTGAGAGGTTCGTGTTAGAGTTGCAGTTGTTCTGGTACCCAGTTGTTGAATAAGTACTTTCTTGAAATCATGAACATCCTGCTTGTGGATAGGAATTCCATTTGTGGGATTGAGTTTGAAATGAACAACCTCGTGATTTCTGCGTGGACATTTTTTTTAATGTGATAATTGTACTTTACTTTTTCTTATTCTCCTGTTTTTCTGCTGTCATCACTGGCTTTGGCATGGCAATACTTTGTGTCCAACTTTTCTATTTTTGTCTCTTTCTATCTTTGCTGGCTCATTCTCGAACCGCCACATGCGCAACACTAGTCTTCGTGGCATCCTTGTTTTCACAGAGTGGCATTGGCTGCTACCTTGGTCTGCAAACGCCAAGAGTCTTCAATATATTTAACTTTTTCGACCTTGAAACATTGAATTTTTCGACAGTTCGCATCGGCAGTTGCCCACACGATGTGTCTAGTGAATCTAATTCGGTATTGGTCCAACTGTCGGGAATCTTAAGAAGCTACCAAATTTAATTCAATGTATTTGTCATTACTCGCCCTCTTTCCACGTCACACTATGCTGTGAGCAACGCCATCATAGCTATTCTGTGGAGGAAGTTCTGTTGTTGTTTTCTTTGTCTTTTTGACACAAAATGAGATAGATTGATTGAGAAAAAGTTACATAGCATACTAGATTCTTACAACATTTGTACAGGGTGGATCCAAGTGCAAGAGAATGTAATAATAATATGTGATCAAACTTAACTTATCCGACTCCCTAGATATATATTAGTTCATGCATAATTAAACTACATTGTAGATCTGTAGTGTTTCATCTGATGCTTATGTTGATTGACAACCTAAGATTCTTTTGACCATTTGTATCTTGTCCCATTTCTTAATAAATGTTTCATGCTTATTTAGTTATTTAGTTATTGGCCCATATTCACTCAAGTGACTTTTTATAGTATTTAATTAAATTCATGCTTTGAAGTTAATTTACATGTGTAAACATTGCTTTAAATATTGTAAAGATTATAGTATTCTATTAAATCTAAATAACTTATAAACAAATATTTCTAAGAAGTGATCAAATTATATTTAGTGAATCAAGATTAGATAAAACTTGATAGCAAAATGATATTGTGTTTATATAAAAAAAAGAGCCTTTGTATGGATCCAAAGATCTTAAATTTCAAATTATTTTGTATATAAGAAATTATATCTAGTCTCAAATATGAAAATACTTATAAATTTGACTTAGATTGGTTCTTATTTTCAATACATTAAACATGTGTTAAGATAATATAATTATCTTATACTTTCTAAATACTAATTGCTATTATTTTATGTCAAATCAATCATGCAAGTATTATTTCTTTCACCATTCTAGATCTAAATCAATAAATTTTTTATTTGAAAGAAAAACCATTTAATAAGTTATTTAGATTTTTTTTTTTTTTTTTTTTTTTTAATCTTTTCTTTATTTATTTATAATATTTCAAAGCTTATAGCTTTTTTCTATGAATTCCTTATCAAATTTGTAAATATAATTTATTATACTAAGATTCATAGACTAATAATATATTTTAAGATATTTTTAAAAATTAAAAATAAACCTTTTTATTTTTAAATCTTCTTATTTAGATATTAGAAAGTTTTAAAAAGAAACTTAGTTTATTCTTACTTTTTTGTAAATTAGTTTCTTGATTTGATTAGCATAGAGACATATTGATAGTTTTTAAATTATTTTATTTTATTTTATTTTATTTTATTTATTATCTCTTATTACTTTAGTTTTAAAAAAATGAAGCATTATTATATTTAATTTTTCTATCTTACAAGATTTACAAGTTTTAAAGATTTATATCAACAACTAATTTGCATAAAAAATTATTAATATTTTAGTGTATTTAAGAATATATTTATTTATTTATTTATTTATTATTATTTATTATTCTATCTTTCTAAATATATTTTAGTAGTACCTAAGTATTCTTGGTCTAAAATATAATATATTATTAATACCTGTTCTATTAATGATAATTACAAGTCTACTAAATTAGATTGATTTTTTTAATTAAGTTAATTTTTTTTATTTGTTGAGGATATGGATCTTGTTCCTTGTATTAGGCATCTCAATTGATCTTTTGTTATTCTTGAGCTTCTTTTAAAGATGCCTTTATTATTGTATATAGCTCCAATAAATAATTTGCTAAATCTTTTATCACAAGATTATCAATTTTTGATAAATCAAAACTATGAATTTATAGATGATAATTATAATTAACAAAAAAAGTGTTAGTTGAGTAGAAGAATGTATCATGTTATTACAAGAAAATTTTTTTAGTAGTAAAAAAATTATCCAATCATCTTGATGGTAGTTGATAGTAAATTACAAATATTGCTCTAAAATTTAATTCACTTATTTTAATTATCCATTAGTTTAGAGATGGAAAGCCAAAGATAATTTTATGTCCACCTTCAATATCTTAAAAAAGATTATTTAAAACCTTGATAAAAATAAAGTCCCTTTATTCAATATAATATTCCTTAAGAATTTATGATAGCAATAAATATTGTCAAAAAAATATATAGCTATTTCTTCATATATAATAGATTTTGTACATAATAAAAAATATGCCATCTTAGTGAAATAATCTACTATCACAAATATAGAATCATATGAAGTTGAAGTTAGAAGATTTGTAATAAAATCCATAGAAATAAAAGACCATGGTTGTTTTGATGTAGGCAATAGTTGCAGAAGTTTGTAAGGTCAATGACAAGGAGTTTTTTAATCTTAAACAAATATCACATGATTGTAAAAAGCCTTTGACTACCTCCCACATTTGAAGCTACAAAAAATCTCTTGATATTAACTCTAAAATCTTATTATATCTAAAATGTCTTCATATTGGGAGGCCGTAATAAGCTTGAAGAACATGTAATTATACTTTATCTTTTGAAACATATAAGCAAGATTTAAAATAAAATAGATTATTTTTGAATTTAAACTTAGAAGCATCATGATATTTAAAAGAATTATTTTTAATATTTTGAATAAGAAAATCAAAAGATATATTTGATTAAATTTACTTATAAAAAATTAAATAAAAAATTGGTGTTGATTTCATTACTCAAAGATAAAAGTGCTTTGCTTTAAAAGGAATCATTTTTTATTGATTGAAATTTTCATATTATTCTTCTAACATAAGATAAGAATGTTTAAAATAGGTATTTGATAAATCTTATTATTTTCTTGATTAATATATAATCTTAAATTCAAATTTTAATAAAGATATGCTCTAAAAGACTTGGCAATAATTTAAAACATATGTTCATATAAAATACTTGAGATTCTTATAATTTTTATACATAGTAACTAAACTTGAAGCACCTTGTAGATAATAATGTTATTCTTAAAATGAATCTATGATTGCAAGAAGTTTGTTATAAATCTCAAAGTTGATCTGAACTACTAAAATATTTTTTGAATAGAAAGCTATTGGATGAAGTTTGACATTGACTCCCATTTGTAACAACATCACATCCAAAACAAGTCTGATGTATCAATTTCTATAAAAAAATGGCTTGAAGAAGTTTACACAATATAAAATTGATGAAGAAGTAAAAGCTATCTTTAAAACTTTAAATGCTACTCTTTCTTTTTTATTCTACTCAAGTTTGTTTTTACAAGTCAAATGTATAAGTGATGTTGTAACTTGTAAATTTTTTTTTCATAAAGATTTGATAGTAATTAAAAAATTTTAAAAAATATTAGATATTTTTAATCATTTTTAGAATTTTAATATCCATGATAATTTGAATTTTTTAAAAATCTATTATAAATCCATCATTTGAAATGATATACCCTAAGAAGTCACCTTGAATAATGAAAGATATAAACTTCTCTATCTTGGCATATAATTTTATATTTTTAAGTTTTTTTGATACATAATAAATATAAAGTTCATGTTCTTTTACATTCTGAGACTAAATTAAGATGTATTCTAAATAACAAATAAGAAAACCATGAAAATAATTCTTAAACAATATCATTTATAAGATGTTAAAAAAAACCCAATGTATTAGTGAGTCCAAAAAACATAATATTATATTTAAAATTTCAATATATGATTTGAAACTTAATTTTTTATTTATCTTACTTTTTAAATTTATATTAGATTATATACTTCTTATAAATCTATTTTAATATAGATCTTGGCTTAATTTACATGATCAGGAACTCTTGAAATTTAAGATAGAGGATATCTATTCTTGATGGTGATCTTATTGGATCCTTGATAATCCACACATATCTATAATGATCTATTTTTTTCTATACAAATAAGATAAGATGTTTTACCTGAGATTTGAAATGGCATATGAAATTCTTACATAAGTACTTGTAAATATATTCTTTGAGTGTATCCAATTTTTTTTCTAATAAGCTATAAATTGGTCCAAATATCAATTGAGTTCTTTCTTAAAAATTAATTAAGCAATTATAAGGAGGATTTTTTTAGAAGAATATTTATATTTTTTTTTTCAAAAATATCTTAATAACCTTAATATACACTTGAAATGCTATTTAAAATCTTTCCTCTATAAAAAATAGATATAGCATAAATATTAAAAGATGAACTTTATTTTGTAGTATGCACAAAAGTTCTTGTACCTATCAATAAGAATTTGGTTGTATTAGACTTATAACTTTTTGATTTGATAAATAGTTTAAATTATTAAACTAATTAAGTTTTTATTCTAATTTTCTAACTCTTATCACTTTAGTTCTAATTAACCTAATTCAAGGAATAAGGCTATAATTTATAACTATAATTTATAATTAACCCAATTCAAGGAATTAGGCTATAGTTTATAACTATAATTTATAATTAACCTAATTCAAGGAATTAGGCTATAATTTAGGCTATAATAACTTTTTAACAACTTAATTAGTTTAATAATTTAAACTTAATTAGTTTAATAATTTACTATAAGGGTTGACTAAAAACCTATGAGTGCATCTATAATCATTCACATGATTTAGGAGTTGGAATTATAATTCTCTAGAAGATTTAGGGAAGTTAGCAATGATAATTTTGGATTTTCCTCCAAATTCGACAAATTTAAGCGGCTTAATGGGAGTCTTTATAATGCAATGGTGGCACCAGATTTACCTTGTGGAGTGAAGAAAA